ATTACATACCTAGGACAGTGTAGTAAGAAAGCTGCAGCTTCATTTTACACAGCGGGAAGAGAGGAAGGCGGAAAGCGGCAACTTCGTTTCTTACAGGTACAGCGAGAGAAAAGTAGGCACTTTTCGCCCGGGAAGAAAATTAGTATATTATTATTTAATTACAAGCGAACTTTCGATACCGGTGTGAGAAAAAAATATCTTCGAAAAGGTAAATAAACTTAATTCTATATCAATATTAGAAAAGATATAGGTATCGGCTGCTGTGAGACCACACATCGCCGTTATTGTAGACTACTACACTACTACACGTCTATGCGATATTTCAACTCGCGTTTTTTTGCAAATGACTGGCCATATACGCCTAGTTCAAACACACAATGTATTTTTTCATAGACTACTACAAGTGTGCAAAATTTGAAAAAAATCTGAGGTTTACACTTCTGATCCTTTCATGGTCATTAGTTTATATAACAGTAATGGGAAACTCTCTTTTAGTGATGGATATATAAAACAAGGGGACAATTGTGGGGTTCGAGCCGTATTTGGCTGACGCTTTTTTTAGTGCTTACAAGGTATATTAATAAATATTTCGAAAGATATTTCACAAAATATGAGACTACTGAATTGTTATAAAATGTTTCTAAAAAAATGTGAATTGTTATTAAAAATTATTTGCAATGAAATTCTTTGAAACAGTCTATACAAAGTTGGGGTTGATCAGGGCAATCCAGGCAAAACATTGCTGTTATTTTTATATTTATTCATGCTTTTGATCGATCCTATGAAGTCTTATATTCGAATAACATAATTTGCAAGCCCTTCTAATTTTTTGTCCAAGAGCATTTTTTTTTTAGATGAGAATATTATGACTACAATGATCCGAAAATTTATTTATATTATCTGTCAGAGTTCTAATTATTTCAGAGCTAATATTTCTCTAAAATTTCTGATATTTATGTTTTTTCTTTTGTTGTAATCTTGTAAATGATTGAAGCATTTACAATTGCAATGCCTAGAAGAAGCTGGAAAATATTTGATAAAGAAAAAGTATTATAATTTTCGAATTACACACGCTTTTTTAGATACTTCGTTCTTGAAGTAAGATTTTCAACTAAATGCATGTAGTAAAACATTTCGTTTTAAGTGTACTTATGTTTTGTTATAAGAAGATAAGAAACAAAAAAACCTCAATAATCATCCAAAAAAGATTATCCTCTTCATAGGATACGAATTTCTTTCTAAATGTAATGTCTTACTACACTAAGTAACTACTTATTCAGTATTGTTATACTCCGGTATTGTTGTATAGCGCAATATAGCAGCGCGCGTGGGCCTAACGGAGATTTTCTTGAAAACTAGCGTGGCGATCAACGTGTTAACAGGAAATGAATAAAACTCATACTCAGAGATCTTTGAAATATTTAGGTTTATCAAAGGAAGTAGCAAATAATAGCATAAGAAACTCTGAGCGTAAATAAAAGATTTAACAAACATATTCACTTAATCTATTAACGAGAAATTAACGAGAAATTAATAGAGCTTGCTCTCAAAGATCTCCGAAATGTACCGGATAAATAAAAGAAATATCAAATATAAAAACAGGGCTCAGCGATTGACTTTGGAAATTGGAGATCCTTGCGGAGCATAGGTGTCAGAGCAGAGTTAATTTAAAGGGGATTCGTACTTGACATTTGTTATTGTATAAAGATCGAACAGTATCGTCGCCTATGTGTGGATCGAATGATCCTGACGATAGATAGACGACGGTCATTTAAAATTCATTGGGTGATTACTAGGAATGACGGTTACATGAACCTTTTTATA